AATCCACCATGCATTAAAATCTGCACAGACGACTACACTCCTGTATGCGCTGGTGTTGATGGTGAAAAACCGATGTCATTTGGAAATGAATGCGTTATGAGGAATTACAACTGTGAACAACATAAAGGTAAATAAATCTAATCTAATATATATTAACTGAAAGTTGTACTATATTTTATTTATAGAATTGAAAAAGATCAGTGAAGGTGAATGCCCAGGCGGTGGTGGCGTACGACTACAATAAAATTATTCTTATACATATCGTTATACAATATATACAATAAATAAAACATAACAAATGCAAAAATGTGTTTTATTCTTACCATTACATGAACAAGTTATTATCAGAGCTATAAACAGTTTTGTAAGGACGACTTGGTATATTCAAGTCTGAGAATAGCCTTGTAATATTTGATGTATTTACAGAATCGATAGTGTTACTGTCTAAATAACAACAATAAATGGATCCTGGTAATTTCAAGAATTGACGTAAAGTCAAAACACCTGCAACTAAACCTCTTGTGAAGTTTGGAGTATCTAATATAGTAACATTTAAACGTTCAGATTTGTTAGTGAAGTCTGTGTGCAAGGCTCTGATTAAACACGGCTGCTCATCCACATTATCGGTGTTTATGTAGAACACAAATGATAAAAATGTAACACATACAACTCTGCGAGCAACCTCAATCCACGGTCTCAAATCTTCAGTAATAATTCCGGCATAAGGTTCTTCATACTTAGAGGCTACACAAACATGTATATCTGAACTGGGTAATTTATACATCTCTATATCTTTACCGTAAACACAATATGGTGTTAAGCCAAGCACAATGGTCTGTTTAGCAAACTGTTTTGATAATTCATTATCCATAACAAGTAGGGTATCAATTTTTTCAGGTATTTTTTTATCAACTTTCCATTGCCATTGCTGGGGAATATATTGGTGGTGGTCAACTTCGTCATCTAAGCCATCTCCATCCAAGAATGCACGACTGATGGGCTCGAATTCATCCAACATTTTAAAGCAAATGTAAAATTTATTATGTTAGAAAATAATTTGTATCAAAGTTATGCCGGATGACTTTTCAAATTTAAAAGAGGTTATGTTTGAATGTTGACAGATGAGGACATATGTCATATGTGTTAATGTGTAATATTGTAAGTTATTGTTGGTGATATAAAAATTTAAAATAGACACAAGTGTTTAACAATTAAAAAAGCACAAATAAGTGGTTAAGATATTTTAACAACTTTTTTTTTTATTGTAATTGTTGATTTATGGAAATGTTAACTTTGTCACTTGACAGTTGATATGTGCACAATTATTTATTCGCAGTGCCACCACACTTGAAACACTAGGTGATAAATATTTAAATTATATTTTGAATTTTAAAGTAGTACATATTATTATAAGTTCTTTTAAGATTGTTTTCTATAACAAAGAGTTAAATTGCATAAGCGATTAAGTTATTAATGCTAATTATAAAATAATATTTAAATTAATTTTTTTTTTGACTAATGTTGGTCATCTGCAAAGACAAACTGAAGTTTGTTGGACGTTGGTGATCGTTGAGAAATGTTCGTTGTGAAAACTAGGAAGTTGTTATAAATCGTTAATATTAAGTGCAAATAAATATTAAGTATGAAGATTTGTAGCTGTATACATAAATGGTGAGTTATATTAAAGAAATTTGAATAAATTATAGTATAATATCAAATGTTTTCTCGTATTTTCTAAATGTTATTTTCGCACGTCAAAATGGCGGCCAATCAACATGAACACTCGGGAAATTATTTTATTTATTTAATTTAATACAAAAATTTGAGAGATTTAGCAAACTGTATAATAATTTATATATGTACTAAAAATTTCTGATAATTTGTATCCTTTTGCGTGTAAACTCAATAATACAATATTCTATATTTTGAAAAATCTTAATTTCTAAATCAACCTTGAATGTCATTGATGAGAAATATTATTCTTAATGTTTTCTGATGCAATAACAACCTATGAATTAATTCGAATTGAATTGTATTAGGTATTTTTTGGAAAAAAATATGGATTAAAATTCAGAACAAAAAAATCGAACTAGGTGCAAGAACTAGTACAATTAAACATTGATCCAGGGGAATTGTCAGGAATGATTTTATTGTGACTTACAAGTAGAAATTAATCAGAAGAATTTTTAAAAAGAAGAAGCTTACGAAGTGACAACAATCAAGGTATTTATCTTTCTAATATTCTCAAAACTTCTATATGTCTATTTATTACACTTATCAGTGAAAGAAAAAGTACAAAGATTATTTTTAATCAGTTTCTCTAATTGTAGTTTTGGCTATTGGAATTAAACAATTTCTTTAATCTAACTGGATATAGATTTGAAGAGAAAAAAGCAACTTTACTGACGAGCAAATTTGATTATAAAATAGTAAAATATAATGTTACTGACAGGAAAACTGGACATTGGCTAAATTGAGGAAAATAGAACTCTACTGACGATCAAGTTCGATTTTAAATGAGTAAAATAGAACTCTACTGGCGAGCAAACCTTACTCAAGTGAAAAAAGCAACCCTAGTAATGAACAAATTTGGTTATAAAAAAGTTAAAACAGAAAAATAGACCTCAACTGACGATCAAATTCAGTTTAAAAAAGTAAATTGAACTTTATTGACCTCAAACTGGACTTTGACTATATTAAAGAACTCTACTGATGTTAAAATTCGATTTTAAATGAATAAAATGGAACTTTATTGGCTGAAAAACTGGATATCACCAAAATTTAGACAAATAGAGTAGAACTCTGTTGATAAAAAAATTCAATTTAAAAAGAAGTAAAATAGAACTCTACTGACGAGCAAACTCTACTAAAAGGAAATCAATCTTACCTAGTAAACCACAAAAGTTAACATACTTTAATAACAATTTTAACAAACATATTAAAAGTAACAATACTTTTATTGGTATATGAAATTTTGTCATACATTTTTTTAAATTACCATTAGGAAGGTTCTCCAAAGGAAAGATTTATATTTTTATTAGAGAATTCTATTTGCCAATTTTATGATTTTTTGAGTCTCTGAATCGTTTGTAAAAAGAAAACATGAATGAAATCGAAGCTATTTGAACATAATTTTTAATACATAGAATATACATATAATTATTTATATTACATATAAAGTACAAAAGCTACATTTCATAAATTATTA